ATCATAACTTCCTCATACGAAGTCAGATTTAGACGTTCTTTTTATGCACGCTCTTGGTTTAACGTATTCAACGAATTTCGTTTAGATCACTAAGGCTAAATATCGCTCTATTGTAAATTCACTATTTACGTCATGCAGTTTCGTACCGGTTCTATCACGAAACTTCGACAGGTCATAACTTCTTCGTTATAACTCGGATTTCAGCGTTCTTTATATGTATGGAAACCTTGTGACATATTCTACAACTTGGTTAAGATTATTTATTCTAAACACTCTTCTATCAAAAAGTCATTTTTGACGCTTATTGTCTCTAAATTGACTAGCCCGGATCTACGGGCGTAACACATGGGCTCCCCCCATGGTCTGATTTCCAAGTGTCATAGACTACCCCCATGGTCTTTCATGCAAGTATCACAGAGATAACTATCAATCCACATAACAAACAATGGGCCGACATTGGTGCCTTCGACCCATGGATATAGTGAGAAGACTCACCTCGGACAGCTGAAACCCACAGATACTCTCTGACTGTAAATCTGCTAAAATCCTCGCGCTATCAAACAAATAACACCCAATTAACAATTGGGTTCCAAACCTAATCCAATAATCCATATATGGGGTAAAACGACCATTTTACCCCTCACCTTGTTTGGTCCAAGACTAAGGCCCAAACTCTCAATCATAAAGGCCCACAAACCAATAATCATCCAAAGCCCAGTTATGGCCCAATTTTCCAAATTGGGCCTTACCCCTAAGCCCATTAATTTTTCCCTAATCCAAAACACACATTCTCAGATGGCCCAATAAAACCCCAAGCAACCAAGCCCAAAAGGTAGCCCAAACCGAAGCCTAAAACATGCAAGGCCTAACAGACCGAGTATGCGGGGCGTACAACCACGTACGCGCATCGTACTCGGTTGGAGGCTTGTACGCTCAACGTACTCGCCCTATTCAGCCCAAACTCAATTTTTCTCTTAATCCATTAAGACAAAGCTCCAAAACACATATCCGACTTCCTTGAGCTGGATTATCACGTAAAGTTGCCAACTTTACGTCCATACATGACTAAATGAAGCTCTTAAGCTTAAAAAGGGACTTAATAGATGACTTAAAGCATGCATGATACCATAATACACATAAAGCTTGCACCTTTATGCTCAAGGATACCAAAACAAACTCAGATCTGAAAGGATAAACCCTTAGACAACCTAATTTATTCCATAACCCAAAAAGGAGACCAAAATCATAATAAAGTAGCCATGAAAAGATCTAATCATACACAAGCAAAGATAGAAACTTGATACCTCAAAAAATTTCCCCACAATATGATGATTTTGGATCCAAAGCCTTCCCACAAAGCAAAACAACTTCAAGCTTCTCTTCTTTCCTTCCCAAGGGTAAAATATGTCCCAAAGCCTTCCAATAGCTCAAGAACACCTCCAAGAGGCTACAAGGTCGATTTAGGGTTTTTAGGGTATGGAGGCTAGCTTAGAAATGAACAAAAGGGACTAACATAAAGCTTATATAGGGTACATCACTAGAAATTAGGGTTTCACGCTAATCCTCTCAGACGCCCAGCGTACAAGGTCTCGCACCCCGATCCCAACCTCGCAGTACGCTAAGCGTACTCCTCATTGCGCATGGCGTAACTCCCTTTGCATAAGTACCCCCCGTGTACTTCGTTGGTACGCCCCGCGTACTAGGGTCTTCCCTCAAACCCTAATTCATTCTGAAGGTTATAACTTCTTTGATACAACTCCGATTCTGACCATCCTTATATCAATGAAAAGGTATCGAGAAGCTCTACACTATTAACCACTCATACTTGACATAAAGTTCTCCGAACACAAAATCCAATTTCCGTAAAAGTCTGCTGCCAGATTACCAATACAACCCTTGGCTCCAAAACTAACTCTGAATGCCTGAATCATCCACATCTCATTCCTCACACCGAAATGAGTAACGATTCAGAACTTGACGTTACAACTAAATGATATTTTTATAACATTTTTTCATGATATCAACTTTAAAAAATTCATTTGGTTTTCTCAAAATTATTTTTTACATCTTTATTTGTATGTTTTTTTTAAAGATTTTTCCATTTCTATAAATTTATTTTTCTATAAAATCGTTTGTCAAATTTTTACATATTTGTTTTCAATCACATAGGCTTATAAAACATGTAAAATTTTGTTTTGTTGCATATTCATTTTCATAAACCAATAGTAGTGCATTCTTATGTAATTTAATATAATCAAACTGAAAAGTTATTATTTATTTACAGGCGGACTCAAATTGGTTGCAAAGGGTGACTCATGATATCCTCAAATTTGCTAACGTAATGTAATTATTTTGAAAAAAAAAAATCGACTTAGTGCAAGTTTTCTTACGGTATACCTTCAAAATGGTATGTGCACCTTTGTCATTTTGCTTTGGATCTGTCACAGCTTACCTATTCTACATATATAAATTTTCTATAACATAAGAGGAGATGAAGTTTTTAGTTAAATCGTGGTTTTAAAAGGCATACCATGGTGGGAGGTGTCCCTCAATCCAACATATTGGCTTCTCGAAGTACTTATTCAAGGCATTTTTTAGAAAAATATTCGTTGTGGCGATGTTAGGCTAATGCAACGCGTGAATATTTTTCAAGGCATTTTTTTTTCATTTCAGATGGGGGCATTAATTACACCTTGAGTTTTTGTTAAAATAAATTAATAAGGTTGATATAACTTTTTTAAAAATTTGTTATGTTTTATAGAAATCTATAATTATATGATTTCTCTTTTTTATATACATAATTGATAATTAACGCATTAGATTACGTCTTAAAAGATGTTATTAATCTGTCATAAGTCGTAAAACTTGAAGCTTGCAGATTGTCACGTTATGGCTAAGGCCATTTAAAACCTTGAGTTAAATATATACATTTTACGAACATATTGATTAAAAGCGGCGTAAATATGTCTTGTACCATTTTTATCATCTTTATCATTTATCAGTTTATGGAGTTATGTTTTTTGAAGCCTCAAAATCTATATAGATGGATGTTTTAAATACGATTCTAAAACCTGCATGATAAACATGTTTCATTTTTGTTCTTTTAGTATATGTTTCTTTCTCGGTTCTATTTTCGGATAATTAACAAGACACCGTCTTGTATGTTTTGATTCACACGTGTGAATGTCTTTTATGGGTCATGCACACGTGTTAGCACACTACATGCATAAACAGTAGTATAGTACCATGTGTCAACCCACAGAAAACTCTCTTATCCCATCAAACCCTATAAATCACTCCACTGCTGATGACACCGGAATTCAAGATTCCCATTTTAATACTCTACTCATGGCAACTTCAACAGCGTCGTGGCCGTCGTCGTCTACGATCCCATGGCAAGCTCTTGATCTGGTTGCAAACTATCTAGACCCCGAAAACCTAGCCATCGCCTCCTGTGTTTCTAAATCATGGTGCTCCGCCATGTCCTCCGACCACCTCTGGGAAGACCCATGCAACACCCAGTTCCCTTCTCTCTCCCACCTCCGTTTCACCGTCGCTCCATCTCTCCCCTACCATCGTCTCTTTTCCCTTGGTCTCACCTCCGCCAAACGCCGCCACAAGCCACCGTCAAAACCCCGAATCTCTCTACAAAACCTCCTTTTCATCATAACAGTAAACAACTCAAAGTCACCGCCGGTCACCTTAATTAAACCCGGCACCGCACTGCCACTGGACCAAAAAGCCTTATTCCGTTTCGATTTTGATGTTCGTGATCACGAGAAGTGGCTGCAGTTTGAGGTGTTGGAGGATACGAAGGTGACATGGAATGTGGTATTGAGAGGGTTTGAAGGCGTTTTCACGATGATGGATTGTAAATGTAAAGGGAGCTTTGTGTCCGGTACGGATGGGTGGTTCTCGACAGAGCTGCCAGCACCAGGGTGTTGCTGTGCATCAAGCTGCGGTGGTACGAGTGGGATGGTAGCGGATATGAGGTTGGTTACAAGGGAAGAGGGTCGAAAGAAGGTTGTGGAGAGGGTGTGTGTGGGGGTGTTGAGTATCGTAAGCTGGAGATATGTTGGGGTTGATGATGGGCTTAGGTATTTGCAGCATTTTCTTGAACCTTGTGACGTGTGATACTCTTTTTTCATGTGTTTACACGTTCCACTCTTGTCGAAGTGACTTGTAAAAATTTGATTTTCATAAAATGTGTTGCGACTACATAAATATATCCCTCATTTATTTTTCTCCATTATATATATATATATATATATATATATATATATATATATATATATATATATATATATATATAATGGGTGTGCTTATGTCATATAAAAAACAAACCTGAAGCTATCTAGCTAGTTTGTTTTATGAATATCAACAACAATTTGCACCTCAGAAGACGATGAATTTGCTCCAGTGACATTTTTGAGATGTCAATAATGAGGTGCAGTCCCTGATCAAGTATTGAATGTATGTATGGTTGATGTTGGTATTTAGTAAAAAGTTAAAACTGAGTCGGCAAGTTTGTATGTTTGTTTTGTGCATTTATGTGATTTTTTAGGCGAGGTGAGCTCTCATATTGTGATGCGTTTGATTATATCATGGAAAAATGCTATATAAGCGATTTTTTCAAATAGTTCAAAAAAAACCGATTTTTTCATATAGTTCAAAAAACCTCAACTCAATTATGTTTTTTGTGTTCAACAAAACCCAACGAATTTAACATTTTATCTAAAAATCTCAACTAACTTACACTTTGTTTTTATTAGGGTCAACCGACTAATAAAAGTCAGCGAATAACATAGTTTATGATGTGAAATTAAAGATAAAGATCAGGAAATGAATTGTAAGACTAACGAAACCGTTCAAAAAAAAACTCAAATCATATTTTGTTTGTTCAAAAAACTCAACAAACGTAACATTTTTATTAAAAAAACCCAACGGACTTACGTTTTTGTTTTGTTCAATTCTTATGAGAGGCAATCAGATTCATTAGTTATATAATTAGTTGGCAAATAGCATGACATTATTTAATGACATGGAATAAATAGAATAAACAGATTAGAATTGTCCTTTATATATCAATTTTATTGCTTGGAGAAGCAAAAAACGAACGGCTTCTATGTTCGATCACTTGTAATGGCAACTTCTTCTTCTTTTTGTCAATTGTTGATGTCCAACTCAAGATCTACAAAGAAGATATTTGATGATGCAAACCCTTGTGAATGTGGACGTCCTTCTCAGATTTGGACATCTAGAAAAGAGAATCATCCAGAGAAAAGAAAAAGTCCAGGGCTTGTTCGAACAGATGTGTAAGTGTAATTGAAAGCTTTATCATGTCCATCTTCTATCTATTTGGTTGATTATCTTAATTAGTTCTTGATTTTAAGGAACCAAATAAATAGATAGAAAATGGGCATAATAAAGCTTTCAATTACACCTACCCATCTATGTCGAATAAGCCTTGGACTTTTTCTCTAGATGATCCTCTGTTCTAGATGTCCAAATACGAGAAGGGCGTCCACATACACAAGGGTCTGCATTATAATATATCTTCTTTGTAGATATTGAGTTGGACATCAACGATTGAAAGGAAGAAGAAGTATTACAGGAGATCGAAAACGAACGTCGTTCGTTGTTCTCTTCTCCAAGACCTAAATAGATATATAAATGGCCATTCTAATTTGCTTATTTCATGTCATTAAATATAATGTCATGTCATTTGCCAACTAATTGTATACCTAATGAATCTAGTTGTCTCTAATGAGAACTGAACAAAAGTGTAAGTCCGTTGGGTTTGTTTAGACAAAAAGGTTAAGTTTGTTGGGTTTTTTTAAACAGACAAAACATGATTGGGATTTTCTGAATGGTTTCGAAACTTCATTGGTCTTACAAGTTACTTTCCCATTAGATCATGGTTGTAATTTGCAGTGTAAAACCAATGATTAATACAGTTATTCTTCATTTCAACAATTATGGAAGAACTATGGAAGAACCACAAAGGAAGAGAGAAGGTAAGGTTGAAAAGAGGAGGTAAGGTTGCGATTTTGAACCTAGAATCCTAAAGATTCAAACAACGATAATGGATGGCCTCTCATAAGCTGTCATGTGGCAATTCAAATGTTCATCGGGTTTTCATTATTATCTGATAGCTCATCAGAAAACCTCGAGTATCCTCTTTGTAAAGACTTCGAGAAGATTAAGTGTAAATTGCACATAAATCAAGCAATTTTACGAACCTCGGTTCTCTCTTACTTGACTGGTTATCTCAGTGCTCACTATAAATCATTTTCACGACCCTCTAGAAGGTAAATCATTAATTTGAGGCGGCACCACCTCTGGATTATATATATACAATGGATTATATATACAAAGTTTTACAACATATTCATTGATTAGATGTCCCGAAAACTCAATTTCATTCTTTGCAATAACATACTATTTTATCTCACATAGATCTATCATCATTGATAGTACATTCTAGCGTTATTGACTTCGGTTTTATCTTTTTAACTTGTGAATCATAAGTGCTAATGTCAAGTTGGGTTTCCATTACTTAAACCATTTTATTGTGGTTGTAGGCCATAACTATCATGGTAGTTTATACCAAATCTCTAATCATGGGTTTGATAAGTGGATATGTCAAGTACCTGCTTGTCTTGACATATATAACTTTGATGATATCACTTTCAATTAGTTGTCTCATAAAATTATGTCATAGAACAATATATCTAGACTTCTTATTACACATAACATTGTACACTTTAGACAATATTACCTGTAACACAACATTATACATTTTAGACCATATTACCTCACTGTTAAAACACACGGGGATATATGTTATTAGAATATTGCACAAACAAATATCCAAGAGTATATCTTTAATCAATTCTGCCTTTTTTGCATGTTATGGATATGGCAAGAAGATCGAACTCCATCATTGAGTGAGTTATACATGTCTGTTTCTTTCTCACCCTAGAAATTGCTACTCCAACTATTGTATATATCCAACCACTTGTGGATCTGAAATCACTTGTGTGATCTTAATTTCCAACTGGCATCAGAATACCCTTCTAGTCTATATAAATATGACATGTATGCCATTTCAAGAGTACTTGTCCTTTTAAGGTACCCTATAACTCTACCTACTGCCTTCTAGTGCTTTATATTGTGTTAATAGTATAACGTCTTAGTTTACATAAAACAAATAAAATGTGAGGTCGATTGCAGTGTATGATGTAAATCATGCTACCGATTGCACTCATATATTCTAGTTGAGCCACTATTCGATCATAGTCCACATTAAGTTGCACACTTGAATCAAAATGAGTGTTATTTTCCTTAATATTCAAATGTTGAAACATTGTCATAATGGTACCTGCTTCTCTAATATCTTTCATTTTAAAGTTTGATGATAAATATTTCTATGTCTCAAGAATACCTTCCAGGTGACTCTCAATGATCAATATATCATCAACATAAAGATAGACAGTGATAGTGTATCCACCCGTGTAGTTGGTATAGATACATCATTCATCACTATTTGTAAGTAACACTCAATTCCAGGTATGAGATTATTCACAATTGTGTATGATTTCTTTTTGGCCACGACGTGGTGAAGCCTCACCACGACGTGGCGATAAGCTTTTAGGCCGTGGGAGTTTAATGAACCACCACGACGTGGTGGTGGGTGTTGGGGAAAACCCTAAAGTTTCGGTGCTAAGACCCTATTTAAACTCCTTAACCTCTCATAGCCTCCATCCCATCAGCCTCCATCTCTCCAAATCGTCCCTTGCAAACCCTAGATCCCTTGTGTGGGTTTTTGGCCTTAAAGTGTGTGTTGGGTGCTTGTGAATGAAAAAGGTGGTGGAATATTATACTGGGAGTCCAAAGCAACGTAGATCTAGGATTTTATCTTCCTCAAGCATCTCAAGGAGGTATAAAGTCTTCATCTTGATGAGTTAGTTGATAGATCTTTGGATTTTGTCCACTTTTCTCTATGCCTTGTTGCTTTAGAAAGTTGAACTTCATAAAGTTTTCAACTTTATGAATCTCTAGGCCATTTGGAGCATTTGACTCTTTGGATCTAAATTAGATTTGAGTTTTGAGGCCATGCATGGAATCTTCACCTTTTTTCCCTATTTTGGCCTAATAAGAGTTCAAGACATGCATTGGACATGCATGTCTGAAAAGCACCGATTTTTATGATGTGTTTGGTGTTAGAGACTCTTTTGTAGCTTTGGGAGAAGTAACCTTATGAATTGAGTGATTATTGCTTAAGCCATGTATTGTTTTGGACCTTAAAGTTGAGATCTATGCACTTTGGAGGGTTCTATTAGATAAAGTTGGAAACTTTATCCATCTAGACCCTATCATGGACCAGATCTGAGTTGGAGACCCTTTAGAATCTAAGAAAATGGCTGAATGCATTAAGCTGTTGAAAACCTTGTTACCACGACGTGGTGGCGGGGCTGGTCGCGACTATTTTGTCGTTTGCGACACCACGACATGGTAAAGGGCTACCACGGCGTGGCGGTCAGCTGAGTTGAATCTTCTTGACTTTTTGACCGTTTGAACCAAGGGGGCATTTTGGGTGTTTTGTATTATGTTGAGAATTGGTCTTTTGATGGATTAGGTGTCGATTAGAGCTGAGATTCGGAGTCGAGACCTCATCAGCTTTTGTCCAGTTCTAAGGTGAGTTTTCCTCACTGTACTTGCGCGTCGAAGGTACCAAGGCTGGCCAATTGGATTAGATATCATGTTATGTGATGGTATGTTATCGTGTTGTAGTAATCTATTAGATCAGTATCCTGGTATATAGGATGGTGTTATGCTTAGTGATCTGCAAGATCTGTCTGTTTGTCTGTTGACTGGTTATATGTATGTTTATTTGTTATGTATAGGTGGACATGTTGTGTGTAGTTGGGTTGAGGCGGACCAGTGTAGAGTGAAGGCCAAGAGACCCAGGGCGTCCCGGATAGACTCCAGGCATGAGAGGCGTACCAGTCATGCCGATGGCCTAGAGAACGGTCCAGATAGGCTGAAGGCCCGTTGAGGCGTTCCAGTCATACTGAAGATTCTGTGAGCATTCCAGATAGTCTGTAGGCCGGTGCGGCGTTCCAGTCGGG